GATTGCCCCTCCTTCTCCAGCAGAGCATCTGGTGGATTCAAACCATGCACCTTTGGGATTGCAGTGCAGCTTCTTGCCACTAGGCCACTAGAGTTCCCAATTAACTTTTTAAAAAAGTACATTCATTTAAAAATAAATGCATTAATTCATTGTTACACAAATTGATCTCTCCCTCCCACCACTCCCCCAAGCCACCTTGGTGGGTTTTTTCCTTAATTGTGATTTTAATGAAAGTTTACAGAGAAGTTGGATTTTTACTCATTCATTGTAACACGTTTTCCTCCCTACCCACTACCCAGTTCACTTAAAAAAAATCATTCATTGTTGCATAATTTCCTCCCTCCCTCCATCTCCCAGTCCACTTTTCTATGTATCTCTTATTCTAGACTGTTGTCACACAGATAATAACCAATCGTATATTCCTTTTAAATAGTTCTGTTCTTCATATGTTCCAATGTAATATTAATAATTTATCCCTTCTTTTCTGTTTCTCCCCCAAGCCCCATATCACTCCTGTTTTATAACAATGTTGTTATGCAGTATTTCTCCTTTTGTGACTGAGATATTTCACTCAGCATAATGTCACCCAGAGTCACCCATGTTGTGTAATATTTTATTAGTTCCTTTTTTTTCAATGCTGCATTGTATTCCTTTGTGTGAACATACCATAGTTTTTCTATCCATTCATTTGCTGATGGGCACTTGGGTTTCTTCTATCTTTTGTTATTATGAATAGCACAACAATAAACATGGGTGTGCATACATCTGTTTGGGTGATAGCTCTGGCTTCTTTAGGGTATATTCCTGGTAGTGGAATTGCTGGGTCAAATGATATTTCTATTTCCAAACTTGAGAAAGTGACAGACCACCTTTAATTGTGGTTGTACCACTTTACATTCTCACCAGCAGTGAATAAGAGTTCCAGTCTCTCCACAACCTCTCTAGCATTTGTTGTTTCCTGCCCTGTTGAACTTTGCTATTGTTGCTGGGGTGAGATGATTTATCATAGTTGTTTTTGTTTGCATCTCTCTGATAGCTAGGAATTTTGGTCATTTTATGATCTGAATGTCCTCTTTGGTGAAGTGTCTATTCATATCCTGTGCCCATTTGGGGATTGGATTGTTTATATTTTTTTTTGCTGAGAGTCTGGAGTATAAATTTTAGGTATAAATCCCTTATCAGATATGTCATTGTGAAATATTTCTGAGTCAGTGGGTTTCCTTCTCAACCTGTTGGTGTAGGGGGGTTTTTTGTACTTTTTTTTTAATGTGTATAGGTATGGGATTCTTAAAAGGTCCTATTCATCAATTTTATTCTCTCCTGGTTGTAGGTAGGACATTCTTAATAAAAATTAACTTATGGTATGATAGATGATGAAGAGATTGTGATTAACAGTTTTAGTTTGCTTGGTTCCACAATCAACTCTCTTGGTACCAGCAGCCAGGAAATCAAAAGATAATTGCAATGGGAAAGTCAGCTGTCAGGGACCTCTCCAGAGTACTGAAAAGCAGCAACATCAGTCTGGAGACTATGGTGTGCCTGATCCAGGCTACGGTCTTTGCAATTGCTTGCTATGAGTCAGAAACCTGGACAATGGCAAGGAATAATAGAAGGAGAATTCATGTCTTTGACCTCTGTAGCTGGAGAAGGGTTTTGAATATACCATGGACTGCTAGGAGAATAAACAGGTTTGTCCTGGAGAGGGTAAAACCAGGGTGCTCCTTGGAGGCAAAGATTCTGACACTTCATTTGACATACTTTGGTCACGTTGCAAGGAGGGACCAGTCTTTGGAGAGGCACATCATGCTTGGAAAGATGGAGGGACAGAGAAAGAGAGGAAGACCATCAATGAGATATATTGATTCAGTAACTGGGGTAATGAGGATAGGTATGTCAGAGACAGTAAAGTTGGCATACAATAGAGAAGGTTTCAGGGAGCTCTGGCGGCCTAGAGGCAAGAAGCTGCACTGCAATTCCAGAGGTGCACAATTCAAATCCACCAGATGCTCTGCTGGAGAAGGAGGGAAAATTTCCTCCTGTACCAGTCAGATCAGATATGATGGTACATGCACAAAAAAGAATTAAAAAAAAATAAAATAAAAAATTTAAAAAAGAATAGAGCCGTTTTCATGGCTATTTTACATAGGATCACTATGAATTGCAAGTGACTTGACAGCACATAGCGACAACTTAAAACTGCTAACCTTCATGAAGTGGTATATTATAAGAGAAAGAATGTGGCATCAGGACTGTAGGAAGACTCATCAACTGGTGTTATGCATATGACATAACTTCCCTTGCTGAAAGTGAAGAAGTTATAAAGTGCTTACTACAGAAGAATAAAGACTACAGCCTTCAATTTTTTGTTGTTGTTGTTGCTGTTGCTGTTGTTGTTGTTGTTCTGTGCCATTGAGTCACCTGCAACTCATAGCAACCTATGTACAACAGCTCTGAACCCTGCCTGTCCTGAAACAGTCTCACTAATTCCAACACACCAACCTCCATTGCTCCAGTTTCTGTACCACTTCGTCTCATCTGAAGTCTTCCTTTCCTGTGCTGTCCCTCCACCCTTCCAAGCTTGATTTCCTTCTCCAAGGACCTGTCTCTCGTGGCCACATGCCCAAAATACATGAGATGGAGCTTCAAAATCCTAGCCTCCAAGGAGAAACTTGGTTCTACCCTCCCCAAGACAGACCTTTTTGTTTTCTTTGCAGTCCATGGTATGTTCAAGACTCTTCTCCAGCACCACAACATGAAGGCATCTACTTTTCTTTTGTCACACTTAGTCATTTTCCAGCTCTTTGAAGCATAATAAGTAACTGTGAAGACCATGGCCTGTGTTAGGGGCCCCTTAGTCTATAGACTGACATCATTGCTTTTAAGCACTCTGCTTACATCTAAATATCAAGAAAACAAAAATCCTCACCACTGGAAAAGAGGGAACATCACAGCAGGTGGAGAGAAGATTGACGTTGTCCAAGAGCTAATTTTACATCCATAATCAATATGATAACAGTAGTCAAGAAACCAAAGACATGTTGCA